CAGAGGGGAAAAACATCAAAGTTCAAGAGGATGGACTGAAGTGTGATTCACAGATGTGAAAGAGACAGACAGACAAAAGCAGAGTAAAGGCTAGATGAGTACTGCGGAAGGGGTCGAATATGGCATAGAGTGAGGTGATGGTAGTTTGAAGTTTCGAATATGACATACAGTGGGGTGATGGTAGTTTGAAGTGGAAGTAGACGAATATGACATACAGTGGGGTGATGGTAGTTTGAAGTCAACTGCCGGTTAATAGATTTTTTGCCGTATGGATATACGTTGCCTAGGGTGCACCACGTGGAGGTAAGTCTATTGCACACCCCATGATACCTATCATAACGCCTGCCATTTGAAAGTACGTTGTCCAGGGTGCACCACGTGGAGGTAAGTCTATCGTATTCTTAAGAATAATTGTTTAGAAAACCAGCAAGGGTTGAAAGTTGCCCAGGGTGCACCACGTGGAGGTAAGTCTATCGCACTCCCGTGTGTTAAGTATAAGCGAATGCGATTGGACACAAAGGCACTGCCACTCAAACCACTTTCCTAGAGGATTGTCAATTCCATACAAGAGTGAAGTTGTGCTAAGGAGAAGGGGCACTTTGAATTTCTGAATATATGTGGTTTGTTTACTAAGTTCATTAGTGTTTATTAAGTGATAATTTTACTGTCTGTGCTGAACCTGTAAGAAATTTTTTAATATATTTATTTAGAACGTTTAGTTGCCTTCATATATTTTAGGAAGAAGCCTAATTTTTCATAGACGTTCATTTTAAACTTTGCTTTAGTTCAGAACTTCGTGTGTTTTCAGGGTTATTTTTGAGGCTAATGAGGTATGGACGCTTTACAAGTAGTAGAAATAGCACCTCTTTGCAAATCAAAGATACTGCTATTTAAGTGGGGTCTTACTAATTTATATATATTATTTTTAGCAAAATCATGTTCTTCCATCGAATAATTCGAAAAGACGGCAAGGAAGAAATCGGCAGGATGTGCGACAGTCCCCTCTCAAATTAAACTTTACACCTGAGGACCTTGGATTTCCTGAGGCCCCTAGTGAGCCGCCACCACGTATGATTATAACTACTACTGCTACTTAAAATTATTAGTAGCTGTTAGTTTATTTTTTTCCTTGCATCTAGTGCATTGGCAAATGGATAAGCATTCAACTATGTTCGATGGCGGACTGTTTGAAATCGAATCTTCTCTTCTTCATCAGTCTCATTCTACGCTAATTACATCACAGTTACCACAAGTTCGGCCTTTCACAGGTTTCAACGAGAACGTAGGCCTTCCTGATCTGCCAATACAAGTATCTGAACTAGATAGTGAGGCATTTAGTCACACCTTCCAAGAAATACCGTTACAGGCAGAGCTACCATCTGCGAACTCTATGGTTCAATGTTCAACGTCTCAATTGCAACAATTTTCACCGCCGCTCCGAGAGCCATCAGAGACTATGTAAGTAAACGCTTATATCGGAATCCGTTGAGCTTAAGAAAATTTATTTGGTGCAGGTTTTGCGCGAATAGAATAGCCTTAATTTTTATGGTACCCATTCTAACCAATTTTGTCTTTTAGTGCAAATGAATGTGTTCCACACAGGCAACTTCCAGCTGTAGTATCTGCTGCTTCAACCTACTTTACCCCACCTCAAGTTAGTTCTTTCTCTCAGTTATTGGGCTTTTTAATTGCCTTGTGAAACGCCTCTGCTATCGGTAATACTCCTCATGATTCTTTGTTTCGTAGGTCCTGAAAAATTTGCATGTGAAAAATCTGCGTCGTTAGGCTTCAGTGGTTCCTTCGCTTGTGACCATTTCTCATTCCAATTCCGCCCCTTTCCGTGTCCCATGTCAGATCGGCTCTATTTTGCGCTGTGTACACGTTCTCCCCTTTTCCGTACCAATTTCCCTGACGTCCCTGGCTGCGTAGAACACTACGTCGTCCTCTTTCTTTAATTAAAAATTGTCGGGCACCTTAATTCCTCTCTACTTCTCAAACAGAACAGAGTTTGTTATGGGGGGGGAGGGAGGAGTTGTTGATCCGCATAAGTTTGTTTGGAGACATGTCAATTCATGGAAGCCCTAGCAGATTTAGGTCACAGAATAGGCTCTGACTAAAGCATTACAGCAAAGGGTGAAATAAGAGATCGAATGAATTTTTAATACTTCGAGAGTAAAAATGTAGGATTCTCATTTACACATTGAAGATTTATGTCAATTTTGACTAATCTAGAGCTCATCTTGTCTGAAATATGATGAATTCTGTAAGCCAGTTTCAGTTTTAAAAAATGAAAAATGACGTAAATCTTACCCATGGAACGCCAGCATCCACCTCAATTTTAGGTTATTGGTTTGAAAGCAAAGCTCCAATCGAAAATTCTGGAATTTATTGAATAAGGTGACTCCAATCCCAATCGAAGTTGCGTAGGTAATTGTTTTCTGGAACTGAAAATCCCTAATTTCTTGGACACCTGTTGAGAGCTATACTATTCAATGTATGCGCTCTCCTCCCCTAACAACCTATAGGAGCTTAGGTTGGAACTGATGAATAGCAACTAACAACAGCCACAGGTTCAAATAGGCAGAACGCTAAATGTTGAGGTCAAATCAAGCGGTTATAAACACTTTTAAGACGCGATGGATATATGAGTAGATAAGCGAGAACTGTGTGATAACATGGGCAGACAGCTTAGGCAGAGGAAGGGCGGGTAAGTGACGTGACTATAATTTTAAGTGAAGCAGTGCAGGTAAGGACAGAAACTCGATGCATGCGTCTAGTTTTGACATTTGGGTGGTTGGGTTAGAGTAGCCCATTGGCAGTAATGTGACTCCGCAAGCGAAAAAGTGAGGAGCTGTAGTTCAGGATATGCACTAGGTGTAAGAAGGCTCTGTGAACTATTCACTTAAATAAACAAAACCTGAATAAATTGTACATGAACTCAATCGAAAATACTGGGAGTAAATCTCGGAAATTCAGTTTCGGAATATTTCGTGCCTTTTAAGATGGATGTGAATGTGATATTACGGAAATGTCTTCTGAGTATGGCGTTTGTTCTTTTAAACCAATTTTTTAAACTAAAATTCTTAAACCAATTGGGGCCTAGGGTCGAAGTGGGGTTAATTCCAACTTGGGCAAAGAATGAATCGCTGATTTCATGACCAAGATCTCACAAGTTCACTCTCCAATCGATCTGTTGACAACCTTGACAAGTACCAACACCTTTCCTTATGTTGGTCAACTTTAATGGCTCCACCGGCATGTACTCACCACTTGCAATAAACTCACTTTACCTTTAAGAAACTTTGTGAGGCACAACTACTTGTTTCCTAACAGTAGGGCATATTTATGCGTGGCCATACCCGTTAGATATGCTTCGAGCACTATTATCCAATCTCCAATTTCCTCTACACGTAAGGGAAGGACAATTAGATGATCTCTGATTAGCATTAATTTCTTTGTATTCGCTTGAGGGGCGAAAATTCAGTCTTTAAACACTTTTTTATCACTTTAGATGTTTTTGAATAGTCCATAATTATAATGATGAGACTATCTGAATGCTAAAGCGCTTGTTTCGAATGTATCAGTATAGTTGCTGGAAAATAAAAATAAGTTTCGAAGCAGAAAAATTGAATTTTCGTTTTAGTGTTCTAATTTAGGTAAAGTAATATGATTAACATTCAACTATCCACTTGAATAAAACTCTATACGCAGTAGTCCACTTCAAATATTATCTTTTTGTAAGTTCTGGCTAGTTGGACAAAAAAATTCACGAATGATTTTTACAATGAAGTTTTGATATAGTTCCTTAGAATTCCTATCTTAAGCTCTGCAATATGAGAGCTATGCCACGTCTATTCAAATCAAGGCTTTTTTAAGTTAAATACTTTCTATTTTTAGCAAAAAAAACCCTCCCATCCCTTTCAAATCAACCGAAACTTGATAAAATTATCTAATTATGCAATATCATCGCCCACCTCTGATTGGCTCAAATTTTCAACCCAATCTCCGACCTCTGCCTCTACCGAATCCCATACACCATCACAGAGAAACTCCAATGGCTACAAATAAGCCGTCAAGTTGTATGTGTCTAATTCATTGCTATTTATTTATTTTCAGTAGTAATGCGTTCATACTGTCGTTTTTTAGCCAATTTGGAGGATTTGAATATATATGGGCAATCAACGATGATCGAAGGCGGACTACTGGAATTCTGTCGCCCTCCTCCCAAGCAACTTCAATTCAAGCCAGTTAGGCCACTATCATCCCAACTGCAGCCATTCTGGGGTGCCAATGGGAGCATAGTCTTCGTTGATGCGCGAGCAAAACTTTTCTATACACCGGCGCAAGTGCGTGAACTATATAGGGACAGACCACATTCGCCTATGAGAACTACCTTCCGACCTCCAAATCAACCTCCTCCACGGCAACCTCCAAGGCCACCATGGTTCGTGCAGGCAGCTATTTATGTCAATACTGATGCAAATTAATTAGTCTTGATTGTCCACAAAAGGGTTTTAGGCTTCTTGAGATAAAGTCACCGACAGAAGTATTTTGGAAAGCAGTACAGTCGATAAATTGTGACATACTTGTTTGTCTCAAAGATCAGGGGAAGTTTATTGCTCGACTTTGCAATTACATTGTGGCCTCCTTATGCCAAATTCCTTTAAGTACACCCTATGGTTGTTAAATGATTCACATAGGGGATGTGGTAATCCTACGGCTTCATTATTTCTCCTTTAATAGACCACTTTTCGCATTTCGCTAACCACGAAGTCTTTATTTGATGAAACTTTGTAGCTTCGTTTGGTTATTGAATGACTGAAAAGAAATTAATATTCATGATCTGTCTGTACTTTGGACACACCATTGTAAATTTAAGAACTGCCCTCTGTCTTCCTTTGTTACTGGGCTATCTCTTAGATCTTTGTGCAATTAATTTCCTGTTGAACGCGCAGCTCCTATCAGTACTGGCGAATATAACGATTTCAATTACTTCCTCAACCTCTCATTAACTTGGGGGTAGATTTTTGCAGGCAATAGAGCGACCAGAGTTTGTGGTTTTAATCCACTTCTGACTTCGCTTGTACTACCTGAATACTGTGGAGCAAACAGTTAGCTACAAACATCGGTTTTGTCAGCGTCTGCATGGTGAACGATCGTTGAAATGAGTACCATTTTAGTGCCATTTAATTTTTTCTTTTAGTCCGCATGCAGGTTTTGCACACCTTCAATCTTTGCTTGGACAATTAAGGAGTGTAGGTCCCTCGATTTCAACCTACCGCATGCCAACTCAAGCATATTGGCCACCTCCATCAAGGCATTTTCCACCGACCTAATCGTTCACCTTTGTTTTTACGTAATTGACCCTGACACCGTTTTCTCGTCCATTGTCATCTTTTAACAGCTGTCACTTTCATTTAACACTTATGAACACTTTGTATTTTACTGTGTTAGTCATTATTCTTTCCTCTTCCCTTAATATTTTACTTTTGTCTTGGTGTACACCATCATATTTCCTTACTTCTATTATGTAACTGGTCAGACACCCTGGTTCGTCACTTTTCCCAACAATTTGGGGGTGATTTGTTGTAGCAAAAATATGCATGCAAATTACATGTAAACGGAGGTATAATTAGAGTTCTAGGTCTTTATTATTACTTTCCATTACAAAAATGCTGTTATGGTCATAGTCCTGGAAGAGTGTCTGAGTGTAAGTAGGGGGGGAGGGGGGGGGTGGGGAACGGAAAGCATGAAAAGTGGATGTTTCGAGAAAAAAAAAACATTTCCTGAAATACTCAGAAGGTATCCAGAGTCTTGCATCGTTTGAAGTGTGGAAACATAATCACGATCCGAAGATATGTGCGCGTTTCTTTGTAATATTCAAATTTCATGCGATGATTCACTGATACTCAAATATCGTTCAATGCCTTTGGAACAGCTGATTGGTTTGTATTGGTGGTCATGTCACTTCGATTTATTCGCGTCTGCTTGCAGTAAAAGCGCCGGTAGATATGGCTTGCAAGGCTTATTTAGGAAAGCGATTTCTAATACCCATCTGGTGGGGGGGGGGTAGAGAGTGGTACCAAGGAGCCTCCTCGGCTGGGTGCTCAAATTCTGTCATTCTGGTATTGTTGGTAGTATTTTCGCAAAGAATTAGTACCTTTGTATGTGAGAATTTTGTCAACGAAATTATGGGTTTTGCTGCTTCCACTTTTCGCTTTAAGACCATGCTAATGAACAATTATTAATCACCGCCATTCACCATTTAAGTGTATGATGCATATGTTAATTATTCAAACTCGATCATATCACATTCATCGATTCTAAGAAGCTATAAAGAGGAGTGGACTTAAATAGTTGTAAAGTAGATATGGAAGCAATATATAGCGACTACAACACAGTTAATCTTCTCTGACAAAATCCCCAGTATAAAGTTACTCCCAAAATTAGCCCAAACATCCTTCCCAGTATAGAGGAGACCGAGTGTGTGTGGAGTGAATTACTCTTACCTGGGATTATTGCTATTTTCACAAAGTTTAATCGTTAGAAATCACTAAGAAGCATCGTGTTATCTTTGCCTTGAAGAAGCTGGTAGCACGAATGAATTCGCAAAGCACTTGGTAATTAGATGGTACCATAGAAGCAGTGGTGTCTAAATTAAAGCGTATGCGAGGATAATAAACAATCTATTTAAATTTAAAATGATTCAAAGTGTAGGACTCAACCGTAATTAGCAATGGATTTTTCCTGAGATGTCTCTGCATTCACCACCGAACTTGATCGCCTCGCGATCATCTACCAGACTGTTTGAATGTTCATGAAATTCCCCTGTTAGTCCTTGCCATGCAAAATGTCAATGATTTCGATTTCGTCGTTACAATCGTAAATCACCACTCCAAATGAATTCGAACGAAGACACTGAAGGTCCTACCTGTTTCTCAAACGCTACGACCACTATAAGGGTGTTTAGAAGACCACGTAGAGGTATGCCATGTTCCGCAATGACGGTAGATTCACTACGGGTCCCCTTAATTGATACTTCGAAAAAAACACTAGTCTATGCTTCTCTGCTAAGGTTAAACTTCGAAACAGAATGGAAAAATTTCGCTTTAACTTGTCTTCGCGTCCCTGTTTCCTCTGTTGCCTCAACTATCTCGTGCTTATTATCTCTATAAAAAAGGGGTATGTGGTAGACTTACCTCCACGTGGTGCACACTAGGCAAAGTATATTCATACGGCAAAAAAGTCTGTAAACCCCCAATTGACTTCAAGCTACCATATCCCCCACTGGGTCATATTCGATCTCTTCCACAGTACTCATCTTACCTTTTCCCTGCCTTTGTGTTTGTCTGCCTCATTTGCACCTCTAAATCACTCTTCTGTTCCCCCTCTCGAATTTTTCCCACTTTGACGTTCTTCCCCTCTGTGAAGCCCGAAGTCAGCTGAGAGGCTAATAATAACTATCATACAGCCTGCCATTTGAAAAAAAAATCCTTTTGAAAAATGAACTACTAGTAACTACCTAGTAAAGATTTTTAATAATCACAAATTCTCATGAATAATGTGCATAAATTAATCCGACACACATATTTTATCATTCATTTGATCCTAAAAAAAACTTTCTTTGGAATCCTAGAGATACTACTACGTGTTAAAACGCTTCAATTATTTAAGATAAGAAAACAAGACATTTATGCTTAATCTTTTATTTACATTAAATTGTCTGATTCCTAAAATGAAAGTTTGGGTATTTGCAATTAATGTGGGCTACATTTTGCCACGTTATCAGTAGAGCCACTTTGCAGGCACCCACTGAGGTTTCTCCAACAAATCGTCAAGTATTTCCTTCAGACGGGCGAATGTCACTTCAATGTTATCACAAATGACAATCTTGTCAAAGAGATGTCGATAATTCCGTTCAATGTCCTGACTCTGTTCCAGGGTTCGCCGAAAATCTTCATCCTATAAAGAAATGTAGAAGAAAATTACTTTTTCTATTCCAAATTAAATGATGGGCGTTATCGATCTCAACCCCCCCCCCCTCACCCCCATCCCACCCTCCCCGAGAAATTCAGTAAAAACACGAAATTTGGCAAACTTAAGCAACTTGTTCAAAATTATATGAGGCAAGAGTCATGTAATTCAGCTCTTTAAAGCCGATATGCACATTATATGCGTAAATAACTACCGCCCTGGCGGTTAAGCGAAAAAAATTCCACTCCATGGAACCATATTTGGAACCAAATAAATGCACGGGTGCTTATTCAGATGTGCGGACTTTCGGAAAACCCTGGTCTTAGTTGTAACCAATAGCACTGATTAATTCTGGTCGACACGAGAGAGTTTGTAGAAACTGT